GACATAGGTGCGGAGAGCACGTACCGGACAGAGCAGTGCCAAGGCTGGGTCTGCCTCCTCCAGGGGCAGCGCTTGCAGGTTCACCACCAGGTCCCGGAGGGGAGTGGTAGGAACCTTGGGCATATATCCAGGCCGGGGTCTCAGGAATACGTGAGAGTAAGCCGGCCCGAACTCCAGGCACACTTCGTCAACAGAGAGTGCGTGCAGGTCCCTTACTCTCCTGATGGATACCAATGCAATCAGGAGTGCTGTCACATAGGACAGGGCAAAAACTCTACCGACTGCAAAGGCTCCAGGGGAGGCCTCTGCAGAGCACCCAGGTCTACTGAGAGGTCCCCAGAGGGCAGGAGGGGAGGGAGGCGGATTTAGCCCCCTCACTCCCCTCAGGAACCTGATGACCAGGTCATGCTTCCCATAGACTTACCTTTCACTGCATCATGAGACGCGGCAATGGCCGCGACATAAATCCAAAGGGTGGAGGGCGACAGCCTGCGCTCCAACCCCTCTTGCAGGAAGGAAGCATGACTCCGATCGAACATCTCCGGGGTCTTCTCAGCGAGAAGAACACCAATTGACGAAGAGGTTCACTTCAACGCATAAAGGTGTCACGTGGACGACGCTCTTGCGGAAGTGATGGTTGCCGCCACCGCAGGTGGCAGCGAACTCAAACCTGCCTCGTCCCGTCCTGGAGCCACACGTGCAGCCTCCAAGATCGGGACGAGGGTGCCACAGAGTGCCCCGTCTCTGAGAGAGTAGGTCCGGTCTCAGAGGAATAGGCCAAGGAGGTGCTGTCGCGAGGAGCAAGAGTTCGGAGAACCACGTCTTGGTGGGCCAGTAGGGGGCTACCAGCAAGACCTGCTCCTCGTCCTCCTTGATCTTGCACAACACCCGTGCAAGGAGGCTCACTGGGGGAACGCACACTTGCGTGGGCCCCGTGGCCAGCTGTGCGCCAGCGCATCCGAGCCGAGAGAGCCGCGGGTCAGAGAATAAACTGGGCGCAGTGGGACGAGTCCCGAGAGGCGAACAGGTCTAACTGTGCCTCCCGAACTGGTCCCAAATCAGCTGGACCGACTGGGGATGGAGTCGCCATTCGCCGGAGATGGGACGGGCCCGGGACAGCTCGTCGGCTGCCCGGTTCCGGTCTCCAGGAATGTAACTGCACGAAGGGACCTCAGGTGCTTCTGACTCCATATCAAGAGGTGGCGGGCGAGCTGCGACAACCGGCGCGAGCGTAGACCCCCCTGGTGGTTGATGTACGCTACTGCCGTAGTGTTGTCTGAGCGGACAAGCACATGCTGGCCCTAGAGCACGCTCGGAAGCGGTGCCGGGCGAGCCGTACTGCCAACAGCTCGAGGCAATTGATGTGCATGAGGCGCTGGGCTCCTGTCCAGGAACCGGCGGCTGCATGCCCATTGCACATGGCACCCCAACCCGTGGTAGACGCATCCGTGGAGACAACGAGATGCCTGGAAACTCGCTGAATAGGGACCCTGTCCGTAAAAAGCTGAGGTTCGACCACGGGAAGAAGGATCGGCGGCACGTCGGAGTCACTGGAACTCGGAGCGAGCCGCGATGCCATGCCCACCTCGGGACTCGATCGCGAAGCCACAGCTGAAGCGGTCTCATATGAAGCAAACCGAGCGGCGTTGCCGCGGCCGCGGATGCCATATGCCCCAGGAGCCTCTGAAATAGTTTCAGTGGAACCGCACTCTTGCCCTCGAACTGTCGAAGACAAGCCAGCAGTGAGTGCGCGCGCTCGTTCGTGAGCTGCGCGGACATGGCGACCGAGTCTATCTCCATGCCGAGAAAAGAGATCCTCTGCACGGGGCAAAGTTTGCTCTTTTCCCGGTTGACCCGAAGGCCCAGACGGGCTAGGTGCCGTAGCACCAGGTCTCTGTGTTCGCAAACCTGAGCTCGAGAGTGTGCTAGTAACAGCCAGTCGTCGAGATAGTTCAGGATGCGAACCCCGTGTTCGCGAAGGGGAACAAGGGCTGCCTCGACGATCTTCGTGAAGACGCGAGGGGACAGAGCTAACCCGAATGGGAGAACGGCGTACTGGTATGCCTGGCCCTCGAAGGCAAACCGAAGAAACGGTCTGTGTCGAGGGAGAATGGAGACATGGAAGTACGCGTCCTTCAGGTCGATCGCTGCAAACCAATCCTGATACCGAACACATTCGAAAATGCGTTTGGCCGTGAGCATTTTGAACGGTAGTCGATGGAGAGAACGGTTCAAAATGCGCAGGTCCAGGATCGGTCGTAACCCACCGGTCTTTCTTGGGGACACTGAAGTAGGGGCTGTAAAGCCCGGACCTCACCTCGGCTGGAGGGACCGTCTCGATTGCACCCTTCGCCAGCAGGGTCGCAATCTCCGCTCTCAAGACTGGGGCATTGCCACCAACCATCGTGGAGCGAACTCCCCTGAAGCGGGGAAGAGACCGTGCGAACTGAATCGCGTAGCCGAATCCGATCGTTCTGATGACCCAGCGGGAACCCCGGGAAGCGCTAGCCAGGCTTCCAGGAAGTGAGCCAACGGGGTCATGCGAACCACAGACGTCCCCCCGGAGGGGCAGCGAGGCGGGTCGACCGGCATGCGTGCAGGAGTTACCCCGTCCGGATGCACCGTCGAAAACCCCCTCCCCGACAGAAGAGACCAGGGAAGGCAGAGCGTTCCACGGGGGTCTGTTCTGCCGGGGGTCTGGCGACAGAGGGGGAAGGGATTGGCGTAGCCCGGGGACGACACACGCACCCTTCCGCGCCCTCCGAGACAGAGAGGAATGAACGGGGCGACGCACTGGACGTCGTGCGCGCTCATTCCAGTCTGTGTGCTCAATGACAGTGTCAGCTTTTCCTCAACCAGCTCAGGGAGCTAGCTAGAACAAAAGATTCTCCACCGGCCCTCCACCGGGGAAGGAGGGGCCCTGCCACCGCCTCCTGAGAAAAACCATGACACTATCACTGAGCGGCCCGCCTCAGGAACATCGCTTCGCCTGGCGTCTAGCGGGGCACGCGGCCTGAGGGGGGCTCTTTTCTTGGGACGCTTACCTGTGGCCTCCTCCGCGACGCGAACCGGCTGAAGGCTGCTGCTGGGGCCGCGTGGGAGGGAAGGGAGCCGCAGGGGGGCGTCCTCGGCGGCGAGCTGGCGGAGGCGTCCGAGCCGACGGCTGGTTGGAGGCAGCAGCTGGCCGTCGGGGAGAGAAACCGCCTTCGTCTGCTCCTAGGCGGTCGAGAAGTGCTGGGCAAAGTCCTGGACCGCACCGCCGAACATTATGATGCTCCTGGACCACAGCGGTGGGCATCACCTGACCAAGGGAGCGAGCGACCGCCTCCGTGACCCGTTTAAGGACAAGGTAGGCGACAGGCTCGCAGCTCGCTTGGTCCGTCACCTCCTCGTGCACATTCCTGAGCAGCTAGCTTTGTAGGTGCTCATCATATGCAGGGCGGAGGCTGCCTGTCCCGCCGCTCTACAGAATCGCGCCGCCATAGACGACGAGAACCCATAGGCTTTGGAGGGGCATCTGAGAGCAACCGCCGGTTGACCGGGGGAGCCCCAGCGTACCCACAGACAGCCGCATCGCCGAGGGGAGGAAGGGCGGGGAACTAAGCACGCTTTTTTATTTTTATTTATTTTATTTTTTTTAATTTATTTATTTTTTAGTGCGTGTCAGTTCCGCATGCAACTCGGGGAAAAAAGGAAATTGGGGTTGGCCGTGGCCGTAAGGCGGCAGCGTTACCCAAAAACCAATTATTCAGCCGCGAGAGATCGGGGAGGGGCGGAGTTCCACCCCCACCCGATGCTCACGGACGCCCGAGATAGCACGGCCATCATCGCGGGATCAGACACGGCGGCGCTGACGCTCCCGAGGGAGGCAACGCGGCCGCATCCTCACTTCCCGAGGAGTCAAGCCCGCCTAGTGATGCTGTGATCGACATCGCATCATCATCTGGAGCGCTGCCCGAAGCAGCCGGTGCCACCGAAGAAGCAACCGACTGAATCGAACTAACGCTCGCTGGCTCTCGCACTGAGGCGGGAGGTGTGGCCCGAGGAATCGTCGGGGCTTTATCCCACACCATCACCGTAAATCACCAGGTCCCCGGGTCGACGGGCCCCCTATGGAGGAAACCGATCGAGCGGGGGGGACCGGGACTCTCACTCAAGTGAGATCATTGAGTCTCGACCTCAGTGTAGAGATGGTCATGTTCCCACAGAAGGAACATGAGTCATCCACGAACGCTGCTGCTGCATGCTGAAATGCCCAGGCATACAAAGCAGCGATCGTGACCATCAGATGACGACAGAAATCAATCACACCCAGAAGAGCACGGGCGAACCGTCTTTAAAAAGACGTGCGCGTGCAGCTCTTTCAATGAGAGGAGGAAATTCACTCTTTCAGCGCTGAAGCGACCAGGGAGAAGCGCAAAGTCTGGCAGACCACTGCTCAGATCGCAGGCGATGCAGAATCTCGCTGGGGTACCGCCGTCACACCAACACTGAAGAGGACGCTCGTCTCGAAGAGTCTTGAACAGTGCTTTCAGGAGTGAAGAGGTTCTCTTGGCTCCGAAGCGAAAACATACTGCGGTTGCGTTCACTTCCTCCTTTTATACTCACGGAGTAGGGCGGAGTACGCTATGCAAATTTCCGCAGCCCCAAGGCATTGCATGCCATTGGCTCGTGTTTTAATACTCGAAGAGGATTGGCTTTCTATGCGAAACCCCCAATCTCCGTCACTTCTGACGTAACTCGAAGTGACTACGAAAGGGAACACATTTTATAAATGTTTTATATTTCTAATAAACAAATTTGTTATTGAAAAAAATAAATAAATGCCTCTCCTTTTTTTCTTTTTAAACACATTTTAGTACAACTTGGTTATCATATCATGTCTTTTAACTACATTTTTCTATGTACGTGTATTATAATTATTTAATGAATAGTGTTGACAAAATGTAGAATTTAGCTTAAATGATGTTATTCTGTCTAATCTCTTACTTTGTTTGTAGGATCTTGAAAGCAAAATAATCACATTTCTGAAGAATGAGCTGGAGAAGTTAAAGAAAATATTACAACATGAGAACACACAACACTTTGTGAAGGACTTTAATGAGAACAGATCCAGTATCAGAGAAGCAGCTCTTGATCTCACACTACATTACCTGAGAGAGATGAAGCAAGATGAAGCTGCTGATGCTCTAGAAGGCAAGAGACTCGTCATCATCTGTCTGATTGTCTCTTATAAATGGAGGAGAGAAAATGAAGACTAAAACTATCTATTTTCTGTTCCTGTGTTTAGGTGAGCTGGTCTTCATTCATCAGCTGAAATGTGGCCTAAAGAAGAAGTATCAATGTGTGTTTGAAGGAATGGCGAAGCAAGGTGACTCCACACTCCTGAATAACATCTACACAGATCTCTACATCACTCAGGGTGGCAGTGAACAGGTCAATACTGAACATGAGGTCAGACAGATTGAAGTTGCTTCCAGACGTCATGAAGCACAAGAGATACAGGTTGAATGCACACATTTGTTTGAAGCGCCTGAACAAGATGAGGAGATCCGAACTGTACTGACAAAAGGAGTCGCTGGCATCGGGAAATCAGTCTCTGTGCAAAAGTTTGTTCTGGACTGGGCTGAAGGAAAAGAAAATCAAGATATCAGCTTCATATTTCCTCTTCCATTCAGAGAGATGAACTTAAAGGAGAAAGAAAAACTAAGTTTGATGGACCTTATAACTCAGTTTTTCCCAGAGACAAAAGGACTGAGCCTTACAAGAAGGAATCAGTTCAAAGTGCTGTTCATCCTTGATGGACTGGACGAATGTCGCCTTCCTCTGAAGTTTGATTGTAATGAGACGAGGCGTGATGTATCATCACCAGCCTCTCTGGATGTTCTCCTAACGAACCTCATGAAGGGAAATCTGCTTCCTTCTGCTCTCGTCTGGATCACCAGCAGACCAGCAGCTGCCAGTAAGATTCCTCCTGACTGTATCGACCGGCTGACAGAGATACGAGGATTCAGCGACGCACAAAAGCAAGAGTACTTCAAAAAAAGATTCAAGGATGAAATTCAAGCCAACACAATCATAGATCATGTTAAACAATCAAAGAGTCTCTTTATCATGTGCCACATCCCAGTCTTCTGCTGGATTTCAGCCACTGTTCTCCAGAACATTCTGGAGGAGAAGAGAAATAATGATGTGAGAAACACTCAGGCTGATGAGATCTCTAAAACACTGCAGGAATCAAACACTGAAGACACTCCCAAGACTCTGACACAAATGTACACACACTTTCTCCGCTTTCAGATCCAGCAGAGCCGCCGGAAATATGATGGAGAATACACACCGGATGTTTCCTGGGATAAAGACGCCATCCTTTCACTGGGGAAACTGGCATTTCATCAGCTGGAAAGAAACAACCTGATCTTCTATGACACAGACCTGGAAGCCTGTGGTCTTGACGTCTATAAGGCATCAGTGTACTCAGGCACGTGTACCCAGATCTTTAAGGAGGAAACAGGGATCGTTCTTGGTACCATGTACTGCTTTGTTCACTTGAGCATTCAAGAGTTTATTGCAGCCCTTTATGCACATCTGTTTCTAGACATCAACAAGACAAGTGTGTTTGATAATGAGTCTACAGAACAGGAAAACAGAAATGAAACCATGATTGATTTTCTCAAGACTGCAGTGGACAAGGCGCTGGAGAGTGACAATGGACACCTGGACCTTTTCCTTCGATTCCTTCTCGGTCTGTCACTCCAGTCCAATCGACGACTCTTACGAGGTCTGTTGACACAGCGAGATGACACTGACCAGAGCAACAAGGAAATAGTTCAGTACATCAAGCAGAAATTAGCAGATAATCTTCCTGCAGAGAGATCCATCAATCTGTTCTACTGTCTGAATGAACTGAACGACCAAACTCTGGTGAACGAGATTCAGACCCACCTTAGCAAAGGAAGTCTCTCATCTGGTGACCTTTCACCTGCCCAGTGGTCTGCTTTAGTCTTTGTGGTGTTGACATCAGAGGAAGAGCTGGAGGAGTTTGAGCTTCAGAAATTCAAGAAATCAGACGAGTGTCTCATTAGATTATCGGCAGTCATTAAAGCCTCCAGAAGAGCTCTGTAAGTCTTTATATATTTTGTCATGTTTTACTCTCATCTGAAAAATGCATGTATCTCAATAGTTATTCCCCATCATAAACATGAAGCTATACTTCATATACATATACTACATGAAGCTATACTACATATACATGAAGCTATAGTGTGTGTGTGTGTGTGTGTGGAGACAGTTTATCACAATTTAAGACAAAATATTAAATATCTTGTAAAAATGTTTGCATGATTGTTTTGTATCATATGATACACCAGACTTGCATGACTTGTTATATAGAATTATATTATCACATACTCATACTTGAGGTAGAAAAAAAAATCCATATTTTATTCATATACCCAAACTGGGGGGAAATAATGTAATTTGGTACAGAATAGATGTTATTTATACTGCCAAAACGTAATATGAAATTTTGAAAGGTTATAGATAAAACATTGAGATTTTTATAAAACAGGCTACTAAAATAAAATACCTACATCTCACCACATCATACTAGTTTTCCCTCAGTTTCTCCCACACAGCAAAATCCCCAGTGTTAATTCAACACTGCTCAGAGTGTATTTGGTCCCACTCTACAGAGTGTTAAAGTAACACTGAAGCAGTGTTAAAGTTAATGAGATAATTAAGTGACTAATTGGGTGATGATTGAGTATTAGTGATAAACACCTGCCCTGCTGTTAACGAGCAGAATCACTGAAAGAAAGAGAAACACAAGAACTACAACTGACCTCCAGTCACAGCCTTAGGTTAAATCAATTGAAGATACAAAGAAGACATTAAATCTGTGAAGTTCTCAGCAGAGGAGGATTAAACGACTCCACAAACAGCATTACCAGCTTCACTTATTACTAACCAGAATGACTTTATTTCTGTCAGATGTCTATGAACGGAGGTTTAGATGTTGATGTTTTAAAATATTTGGTCACCATTATTGTGATCAGTGTTTCCTTTAGTTGGGCAGTTTGACTCTCAGTATTTTAAGTACAATTTTGGTCTTTGTAACAATGTTTACCAAATCATACTGTTTGTTACATAGCAAACAATAAACAAAGGTGTTCAGCAATAATAGTTTTCATTATAAAACAGTAAATAAAATAATGGTTCTCTAATATTATCCCTGACCAAAGGTTGTAATTTTTTTTAACAAATAAATTTCACCTTTTTTGACAGCTTACTGAACATCAACATTCTGATTTTTTATATGCACTGCAGAGAGTTTGACAGAAAATCATTAAACTTCTTTTTTTTTAAACAAACAGACATCATGAATCAGCATATCAATCTCAACAATGGTGACAGGTGACTCAACAATGGTGAAGAGTGGGGCTGGGCAATATATATCGCACGATATTGTATGCGCATCTAATCAGTAAAGCCGGTTCCTTGATTAGTAGTAAATCACCTTCACCTGCTTTCAGATGGAGCGGCATTTACTACAAAGAGCCGTATAGTAGATCACTGACAAGCTGAGCCAAATCGCGTTAATATCGAGGATGTATCGCCAGCGATATTTAATGCGATATGGCTCAGCTGATCAGTTAACTACGGCTCGTCGTCACGACAAAATCTCCCGTGTTAAACTAACACACCTGGGAGTGTACATGAGTCCACACTCAAGAGTGTTAAAGTTAATTAGATAATTAAGTGATTAAATGAGTGATGATTGAGCATTATTGAAGACACCTAAAGCAGAATCACAAGGAAAAAAAATCTAAAATTGTAAGCCACCGTTATGGAGATGAGTGTTTACTTTAGTTGGGCTCTTGACCCTTATATTAAAAACTTTATATTTTAATTTGCTGTTGCATCTGAGTTAAACCTGTCAGATGAACAAAAATAAACAACTATAAAATGATGTTGGTTATATGAAGACTTTCATAATTTAAAATTTATTCTGTTGGTTACTGCATAACTGAGATTCCGCATAAACATCCAGAATGTTAAATATAATATAATGGATTTCTCAAAAGTTGTTTAAAAAAAAATCTTTCTTTTAGGCACACACAGACCTCAAGATTCAGTCAATGCTTCTCAACAACGGTGACGAGTAGAATATTCAAGTGGGAAAATAATGAGTTGTGATTGGTGGCAACATGTCACCACGGTTGAGATAGACAGGCTGATTATTGATCTCTGTGTTACTGAATAAAGATGACAGTGATTTGATCAGAATATTTTTTATTAAATATTTTAGGTTATAAGTAAAATACAGATATGCTGCAGAACTACAAAACTGTAGCTAACAAGTTAACCAAATCATCTGAATAAGTTAAATTTTTCAGATCATTGCATGATTATGTCAAAACATAACCAACACTATCAGATCACAGTTGCCTTTGTACATATGACTGTTATAAATCAATATCGACAGGCAAACAAAACTTAAAGTGAAAATATAAGTGTCAAGAGCCCAACTAAAGCAGACACTGATCTCCATAACGGTGGCTTACAATTTGTGATTTTCTCCTTTAGCGATTCTGCTTGTGATCATCAGGTCTCTTCAATAATGCTCAATCATCACTAAATTAATCACTTAATTATCTAAATAACAGTTTAATTTAACACTCATATCGTCAATTTGAAAGCATGTGAAGGTGATTTACTACTAATCAAGGAACCGGCTTTACTGATTAGATGCGCATAACAATATCGTGCGATATATCGCCCAGCCCTAGTGAAGAGTTTTAAACTATGGTGCCTCCCAGAATGCATTGCGGCATAAAGCATTTCACCATTGATGAGATTCATATGTGGATTATTGATGTCTGTGTGTTTGTCCAAAGATTATTTTTCCATTAAAAAATAAAATAAAAATCAGCTTGATGTCTAATATGTACAAAAATAAATGTTGTAAAGAATTAGAACTATTTATAACATTTTGCAGCTTTTTTGTCCTTTATTATGTTGTAAATTATTACATTATCTCTAGGCCATCTTTGATTTTGGCTTTCTTTGCAACAAATTATGTGTTTTGTTTAATACTGTTACAGAGACCATAAAATCACATGAGAAGGCAAGAGTCAAATTGCCCAAATAAAGGAAACACTGTTCACCATAATGGTGATTTTTTTAAATGGTGACTAAACCATCAACATCTAAACCTCTGTTAATTCTCAATAAAATCTTCTGTAGAAGTCTGACAGAAATAAAGTCATTCTGGTTAGTAATAAGTGAAGCTGGTAATGCTGTTTGTGGAGTCGTTTAATCCTCCTCTGCTGAGAACTTCACAGATTTAATGTCTTCTTTGTATCTTCAATTGATTTAACCTAAGGCTGTGACTGGAGGTCAGTTGTAGTTCTTGTGTTTCTCTTTCTTTCAGTGATTCTGCTCGTTAACAGCAGGGCAGGTGTTTATCACTAATACTCAATCATCACCCAATTAGTCACTTAATTATCTCATTAACTTTAACACTGCTTCAGTGTTACTTTAACACTCTGTAGAGTGGGACCAAATACACTCTGAGCAGTGTTGAATTAACACTGGGGATTTTGCTGTGCAGTAATTATATATTTAAATGCTTATTTCTATGAGTAATTCTGTAGTTTAAAGGGTTAGTTCAGTGTTTTACACTTAAAGCCCTGTTTTAATATCGTTTCTGATGAAAAAGAACGGTTAAGATTGAAATTTGGACAAATGCTGCTGTGCCGAGAATTTTAGGTTTGTGTGTTAGCACCCTCCACCTACACAATGGTTGTCTATGTGCACTGGAACAATCATTCATAAAATGCATTAAACTTTAGTTTACAAAGACGGGAAACTCACCAAGGGGTCTGGGGTGTTCACTGATATGCTCACACAAAAATCACTGCAAAAGATGCTTTCCAATAGGTTTTATGGTAGTTTTTGCAAAAACAGTATTGCAGTACACATACAATTTAAAAGAAAAAAAAACACAGCAATTTAAATGTATTTTGATATTACATTATATCTTCATACTAGAGGTCTTCACGGGTCCAAAAATTCATGCCCGACCCGGAAGAGACCCGTAATGTGCTACACCGAACCGACCCGGACCCGTCGTTCATTTCAAAAGTTGGACCCGGACCCGTGCAGACCCGAGAAATGCCATAAATGTACTGCCCGGGCCCGACCTGGACCCGTCTATTATTTGAAAACTGGACCCGAACCCGGCAGGAAGACACAAACCCGACTGGACCCGATTGTCACATATTATTTCACACGAGTTGCGAAAAATAAAACTTTTTGTCTTACCTAATTTTAGTAGTCGTCGTCTCACTTCCTGACGTTATCTGACTGAATGTGATGCATTACAATCCACCGACAAGAAAGTTCTATCCATGTTATTTCTCTCGTTTTTCCAAGCTTAATCCACTCATTATTTCAGCTTTAAAAGTCCACTTGATGTCACGGTGATGGATGAAAAATGCATCCTTGCACATGCACATTCTGACTCGAGTTAACTCGCATAATAACTTTAACTGTTTGCCCTTTTGAACTATAACGATTGCTTGTTCAGCTTGATCATATCTGTGCTCTCTGCTCTTCATTGAGTCTGAATCTGACCACAGAAACTTTAAGATTAAACAAGACGGTTCATTTATATTATTATAAACATTGGAGAAAATGCAAAGCGCGGTTTGGCGGAAGCTCTGCTCTGGTTGCCATAGAAACATGACACGCGCTTGAGATTGCACTCCAATCGCACGTGTATTACCAGCCCGTTCTCAGCGCGTTATATTAACAATAACGGGTGCCATGTGAGTAGTATTTCGCCGTTTTGTCATACAGCGCGTCCTATATGGCGCTAAAGGATGAGAATGCGTTGGTATTACACACAATGTTAAACAGACCCGGGACCCGAAGTAATAGATTCGGACCCGACCCGGACCCGGCTGCTCATTTAAAATATAGACCCGAACCCGTACGGGTCCCGGGTCGGGTCCGGGGCCGACGGGTCTCGGGTGCACTGTGAAGACCTCTACTTCATACAAAAATAAAAACTTTGGCCAGCTTTCAAATACATTTAATTTAAGTTTAAACTGAAATAAAAAGCTTTTAAATTTAGCTTTAAAGTG